TGATCCCCTGCCTGGGCCTCCTAAATTGCTGGGATTACAGGCTTGGGCACGTCTGGATAGTTTAGGGTCTTTTTTGGCGGAGGGGCGGGAGGTATCGGGGACTGAACTCAATGGCCCTTGACCATTGAGCCACTTCTCTAGCCCTATTTTATATTTTATTTAGAGAGAGTCTCACTCAGTTGCTTAGTGCCTCGCTGTTGCTGAGGCTGCCTTTGAAATCCCAATCTTCCAGTCTCAGCCTCCGGAGCCGCTGGAATTACGGGCTTGCACCACCACGCCCGGCTGTTTCAGGGTCTTAAGGAATATAGATAATCATTCAATGAAGTCATTCAATAGCGAGGCACATTCATCTGAGTGACGTCCTGGGGATTTGGAACCACCTGTCTGTTAACTTCAGACTCCAGTCGTACTACCTGTGCAGTCCACGCAGCACCTGTGCACGCGGTGTGCCGGGGTCTCCCCGCCCACCCCAGACCCACCCAATGAGAGCTCGGGGGAGGGGTGGCGAAATCTGTCCCGCGCAGCCCCTGCTGGAGCCGGAGCCGGAGCCCGTGCGCACCGCAGGCGTGCGCTCTGGCGCTGAGCCGCGTCCCCAGCCTAGAAATCTGTACCTTTAACTAGTTCGCACCACCCCACTCTCATGCTCAAATGAATCTATTGGGAAGTTCTGGGCAAGGTAGTTTTTAGGTCCCGTCCATCGCTGTCACGACCCACCGCCTGCCCAGGAAAACTCGCGACACGCCGGGCGCCCGCAGAGGGGGCTGGTCAGGAAAACAGTGAGCCTCGCGGGGACGCCTACCGATCAGCATGATGACCAAGTTAGCCGCTCCGTACTTCTCTATCTCGTGAATCCAGTGGGGGACCGACTCGAACGTGGACGGCCGCGTGAGGTCGTAGGCGATGATGGCTGCGTGGGCGCTGCGGTAGTAGCTCTGGGTGATGGTGCGGAAGCGCTCCTGGCCCGCGGTGTCCCACACCTGCATCTGCAGAAGGACAGAAGAAGGGCCTTCAGGCGTCCGGCCACACGCGACCTCTTTCCCCGGAGTAACTCAGCGCAGTGTCCTGGGTCTCACTCATTTTCCCTGCAGGGCTGGGCGGGGAGTCTTTTAGTTGTTCCCTGGGTGACTTGGACCGAGGTGCTTTCAGGACTGCATGTCACCACCTACAGGATGCTTCCCTGAGAAGCAGAGCATTTGTTCTTTTGACTTCTCACCTCAATGTCCTTAGGTCCAGATTTTGGGGTTATCTTTTGAGCCTGCTGCCCATTGATGGGGGATGGCATTGGTTAAACTTTTTTTTTAATGAATTAATTTAAATTATTATTATTATTTGGTACTGGGGATTGAATCTAGGGTGTTTTTCTTTTTTCTTTTTCTTTTTTAACCACTGAACCACATCCCCAGCACCTCCCCCACCCTCTTTCTTTTTTAATTTGGTCTCACTAAGTTGCTAAGACTTGCCTTGAACCTGTGATCCTCCTGCCTCAGCCTTCCCAGTTGCTGGGATTACAGTCATGCACCACCCTGACCAGCTATCTCTTTGGTATCATCCAGTAGCCAGACCATATTAACAATTTCCTGATGATTTCCAAAATATCCATCCCCTGGCCATCAGGGGTTGAATCCAGCATCCCCCACATGCTAGGCAAGTGCTCAGCACAGAGGTAAATCTCCAGCCCTTTTTATTTTTGAGATGAGGCTCCATAAGTTGCCCAAGCTGGCCTCAAAGTTGTAATCTTATTCCCTCAGCCTCTCAAGTAGCTGGAATTAGAAGTTCAATTTTTTATTTTATTTTTTTCCTATACTGGGATTGAATTCAGGGATGCTCTACCACTGACACACATCCTTAGCTCACTGGTTATTTTTACTTTGAGACAAAGTCTTGCTAAATTTTGCAAGATGACCTTGAACTTGTGATCATTCTGTCTTAGCCTCTGGAATTGCTAGGATTACAGGTTTGCACCACCACGTTCAGCCCATTTTTTTTTTGTGTGTGTGTGTGTGTATGGTGCTAGGGATTGAACCCAGGGCCTGTGCATGCAAGGCAAGCACTCTACCAACTGAGCTATATCCCCAGCAGCCCAAATACCTTTTTACAATTGTTTTTATTTCATCAAGATCCCAAATAGGATTGTGGTTGTGGTTCAGTGGTAGAGAGCTTGCCACACATGTGTGAGGAACTGGGTTTGATCTTCAGCAACACATAAAATAAATAAATAAATAAATAAAGATATTGTGTCCACCTACAACTAAAAAAAATATTAAAAATAAAAAAGGGGCTAGGTTGTGGCTCAGTGGTAGAGCAGTTGGCTCGCATGTGTGAAACACTGGGTTCAATTCTCAGCACCACATACAAATAAATGAATAAAATAAAGGTCTATCAATGATTAAAAAATTTTTAAAAAAATTAAAAAGATACCCAATAAACACCTGTAATACCAGTAGCTTGGGAGGCTGAGGCAGGAGGATTATGAGTTCAAAGCTAGCCTCAGTAATTTAGTAAGGCCCTAAGCAACACAGTGAGTCCCTGTCTCTAAATAAAATATAAAAAAGGGCTGGGGATGTGGCTCAGTGTGCTTGGGATCAATCCATGGTTTCAAAAACACAAAACAAAACAAAACAAAACAAAAAAACCAAAAACAAATAACCCTCAGCAATTTAGACCCTGTCTCCAAATAAAAAAATAAAAAGAGCTGGGCATGGTGGCACACACCTATAATTCCAGTGGCTCCAGAGGCTGAGGCAAGAGGATCTTGAGTTCAAAGCCAGCCTCAGCAAAAATGAGGCACTAAGCAACTCAGTGAGACCTGTCTCTAAATAAAATACAAAATAGGCCTGGGATGTGGCTCAGTGGTTGAGTGTGCCTCTGAGTTCAATCCTTGATACCCCAAAATAAAGAATAAAAAGGACTGGTAATGAAGTTCAATGGTAAAGTGCCCCTGGATTCAATCTCCAGTATGGAAAAAGATCACAAATAAGATCCATTGACTACATTTCACTAACAGTTTTTTTTTTTTTTTTTTTTGGGCGGGGGGGAACAGTACTGGGGATTGAACTATGGGAGGTTCTACCCCTGAGCTACATACATTACCAGCCCTTTTTAGTTTTTGAGAGGCCTAGGCTGGCTCTTAACTAGTGATCCTCTTGCCTCAGCCTCCTGAATCACTAGGATTATAGGCACATTTGGCAAAACATATTATCTTGCTCTGATTTTTTTTTTTTTTTTGCAGAGAGATGGGTACCAGGGATTGAACTCAGGGGCACTGGACCACTGAGCCACATCCCCAGCCCTGTTTTGTATTTCATTTAGAGACAGGGTCTCACTGAATTGCTTAGTGCCTTGCTTTTGCTGAGGCTGGCTTTGAACTCGTGAACCTCTTGCCTCAGCCTCCCAAGCCGCTGGCTGGATTACAGGTACGTGCCACTGCACCCAGCTTGCTGTGATTTAAATTTATACTTTGACAGTGAGGATGGGCATCTATATTTTAATCTATGAACTAGTAGTTATAAAGCTTGGAAAATAGTAGGTTTGTCCAGTCTGTGAATTGGCCACTTTTTGTATTTGGTTGTTGGTCTTTTTTTCCTAGATATTTATCAGAGCTCTTTTCACATTAATAAAATTAGCAGTTTGTCAGTCTCCTACTGCAAATATTTCCTTACAGTTTGTCCTGCATCTTTTGACTTTGCTTATGGTATTTTTTGAGTATGTGGATTTTTTTTTGCCCTTTCCTTTGTTTCATGCCTTAATTTTTAAATTAATGGCTGATGTCCCCCATTCCAGGGGGATATTGGTGAGCTTCATGTTGGGAACTCTGACGAAAGGAGGCAAAGCCACCCTGTGCTCCTCTCACCTTTACTTTCTTGCCGTCAATCTCCAGGGAGCGCACGGTGAAGTCCACCCCGATGGTGTTCTGCTGTGTCTCAGTGTAGACCCCAGATTTGAAATGCTGAACCACACATGTCTTCCCCACATTGGAATCCCCAATGAGGATAACCTTGAACAAATAGTCAAAGTTCTCATCTGCTGCCCTGGCTGAGCTGTAGAACTGCATGACTCTGATCACCTGGAATAGACCTAAGAAAAGAAGGGATTCAGCTTCTCTCTAGTGGGCACCCACCAGGCACCAGGCACTGGACACCCAGCAGAAGACAAGACAGAGGGCCATGGTGGCTTTCACAGCTCAAACATTCTCGTGGGCGTGGGATGCTAATGATGGCAGTACCAGACTTCCCCACAAGTCCATACCTTCACCATGTGTTGACAGTGCTTTAGGGGTGCCCTCAGAATGACAAGGTACTGCTGTCATTCTCTGGTGGATGGAGAATGCCTGTTCTCCAGATCACAGCATTGAGGAAAGCCTAGTCCAGGAGACAAGGTGCCCCATGGGCCATCAGAGAGCAAGATGGCAGAGGAAGTGCCCCCAGGAGTGACTTCCCTGCCATTAATCAGGGTGGAGGACATGTGCCCAGGAAGCCTGAGACAGGACTGAGGAGGTTTGACTGGGAGTTACTTCAGGGTCAGTTCAGGGAAGAGTGATGTGGCCTATTTATTTATTTATTCATTTACTTTGGTATTAGGGATTGAATCCCGGGGCGCTTTACCTATGAATTACATTCCCAGCCCTTTTTATTTGTTATTTGAGACAGGGTATAGCTAAGTTGCTTAAGGACTTGCTAAATTGCTGAGGATGGCCTTGAATTTGGAATCCTCCTGTCTCAGTTGCCTGAGTCACTGGGATTACAGGTGTGTGCCACCATGCCCAGCTAATTTAAAAGTATTTAATGGTAGTGTTTCCCCAAACTAACTGATTATCAGATTTACCTGGGAAGATAATTAAAACATATGTATTCCCAGAACCCATCCCAGATCCATTATATACACTTTAAAACTAAAAAAACAAAAACAGAACCATACACATACATACTCCCCAGATGAGTCTGATGACAAGCCAGGTTTGGGGAACACAAGTTAACACAAGCAATCACCTGCAACTTTATTCTCACCTTTAATATCGCTGTCACTACCTCCTGAAAATGACCCATTGGGCAGCTCTGACTTCTGCGGGGTTGAGACCCATTTCCTTGGATTTCATTCTGTCAACCCCAGAGATACCTCTGCTGTGCCAAAACATGTCACATTCCTGTTCCACAGGACAGCTCATCAAACACTCATAGCAGAAAGCTATTCCCTCAAGGTAAACAGCCTTTAACTGTCCTTTATATGATACTGCGTTAAGTCTCCTCATCAGATATCTCATGAAAGTAAATGAAACCTTATCCTATTTGATGATAAAATTTGATGTGCTAAAAAAGTTCCTGCATTGACACCCTTCTTCATTTTCCCCTGATTCATTCTTTTCTCTAACGTTATGGAAAAACCAAGTCTAGCTAGGCACGTGGCGCATGCCTGTAATCCCAGAGGGTTAGGAGGCTAAGGCAGGAGGATCACAAGTTCAAAGCCAGCCTCAGAAACTTAGTGAGACCCTGCCTCAACAGAAAAAAAATAAAATGGGCTGGGGATGTGGCTCAGTGGTTGAGCGCCCTGGGTTCAATCCAAAGTACAAAAAAAAAAAAAAATCCAAGTCTATATCATCACAAAAATATCCAGTCTGTATGTAAATATGTAAAACCCAGGGTTTTAAAGGAATGAAAAAGAGCCATATCTTTCTTGGATGCCTCAGATATCACATAAGGCTAAATGATCCAGTAGACAAAAGACATACTCAAACCACTTTTTTTTTTATTTCCCTCTGACTTTTCAACTAAGAAAGCCATTCCACTTCCGGTCTCATCACTTGAACTTGAGCTGAAACCTTATTTTCATGTCCCTCCTTCCCTTTCCCCTGTAAGCCCCCAGGGTTTCCACCAAAGCCCTCTGTGACTTAGCCATGTGCTCCACAAGGAGAAACCGAGCCACCCCTTAGCTCACATCCTGCACCTTTACCTTCCTGGCTCACCTGTGGCTTACCTGTCTCCCTCTCTCACCTGTGCTAGCCAGAGGTAATTCTGTCTTCTCCTGGTTTCCTTTGCAGCCCTCGGTGCCCCTTCTTCCTCCTGCCTCGCTGCGTGGTGGGAACTGTAGTTCTGGCCCCAGGTATCAGGTTGTGTGGCCTGAGAAAGTGAAAGGAAAGCAAACACAGTCCCTCCCACCTGCCCCAAGCCACCTCAGCCACAGAGCCCCAGGCGAGGCGCTGGAGCACCCGGGAGCCAGCTCCCCTCCAGCAACCACGCTGCCCCTGCTCCTGTTGCTCACTGTCTTTCCTGCACCTGGCATCTGTCATTTCCCCTGGTGTCCCCTGTTTGGCTGGGCTGGGGGTTGTTAGAAGGATACTGAGTCTTAAGTGACTTAATTGCTTTGTGGATTTGAAAAGCTCTTTTTGAGAAGTCCCAGAGAGAGAGGAAGCCAGCAAAGAGGAGGTGAAAAAAAGGACTTTGAAGGTGTGTGTGGAGGAAGAACGGAACAAAAGTCTCAGCTCACTCCCAAATTCCACCACTCAGTGAAGGTTAGTCTCTAGGTCTTGGAAAACCTCAAACCTGCAGTTCTGAAGGCTGGTGGTAGATGCGTAGAGCTGAGATGGATTTCTCCTTCTATTCCCCACAGAGTCTAGAATACTGACTGCTTCTAGCATAAGGACTAGGTGATCTGGGAGGCTGGGGTAGGAGGATCTCAAGTTGGAGACCTGCCTCAGGAACTTAATGAGACTCTAAGCAATTTAGCAAGACCCTGTCTCAAAATAAAAATAAAAAAGGGCTGAAAATGTAGCTCTGTGGTAAAACACCTCGGGTTCACTCCCCAGTCCAAACAAAACAAAACAAAAAAGCAAACCAAAACCCCCCAGATTTTCTACATGAGGTAGGTAGAGGGCTGTATACCTACATATATGTAGGGTAATGTGTATTGCTGTTAAATAGCACCAGGAGCAAAAGAGAATCGGAAACATCACGATTGATAAAATACTGAAATTGGCATAGTGTTTTCTAGGAAAGAGTCCCAAATCAACTTGAGTAGGTTGCAACCAGCAGTTTTACAAGAAGAGGTTGGGGGGAAATTCAGAATGTACATAATATAATAATGGTAAATATTGCTTTAGAAAATGCTTGGGTCCGTTGTATACATGCAGTTGTATATACTGGGAATGAGGTAAAATGTTCTTTCTTGGGCTGGGGATATAGCTCGGTAGAGTACTTGCCTTGTATGCACAAGGCCCAGTACCCCTTCCCCCCCTAAAAAAAATTCTTTTTTTTCTTGCCTGTGTTGGCAGGGGGCGGGAGGTGTCACTGGCGATTTAACCCAGGAGTGCTCTACTACTGAGCCACAACTCCAGCCCCTTGTTTTCCTTCTCACATTTTTAAAAAATTGGTGCCTTCTTGTTGAACATACTGATGGGATTTGTTATATATTCCTACATGCACACAATGATAAAACAGCATCATTTGGCCATTATTACTCCTCAGCATTTCCTCCTCTCATTACATCTTCCACCCCTTGTTCCAGCCCTTTTTAAAAATTTTTATTTTGAGGGCTGGGGATATAGAATGCATGCCTCACATGCATAAGGCCCTGGGTTCAATCCCCAGCTCCACAAAAGAAAAAAAAGTATTTTGAGATAGGGTCTCACTAAAGTTTCTGAGGTTGGCCTCAAACTTGCAATCCTCCTGCCTAAGCCTCCTGAATCGATAGGATTACAGACACCACTATGCTGCTGGCAGGTAGAGCAAGAAAACAAACAAAAAAGACACTGCCAAATGCTGCTCTGCTCTGTGGGCTGCTGCTTTTTTTTTTTTTTTTTTTTTTTTGTGGTGCTGGGGACAGAACCCAGGGCCTAGTATATGCAAGGCAAGCACTCTACCAACTAAGTTATATCCCCACCCTGGGCTGCTGCTTTGAGAGCCACCATGACATGTCCTCAACTTGGAAATCAAATGTAGGTCAGGATCTACCACAAAAGCACAGGCTGGGGCAGGAAGTAGACTTGGTGTCTGTGTCAAGGAGGTCAGGTGCAAAATATTGTATTTCCTCTGGTAACGGTTATGGTTACAAAGTAAGTCAGCTGACAGATCCAGCACTCAGAGAGCACCCAGAGGTAGGAATGAAATGTTAAAAATGTCCAGGTGATTAAAAAAATTAAGTCCAGAGATACATACTCTCTCCCCCCAAGTTGAAAGGGCATCGTGTGGGCTATGGGGAAATTAAGTTTTTTTTTTTTTTTTTTTTGTTTAAAGACAGAGTGAGAGAGGAGAGAGAGAATTTTTAATATTTATTTATTTATTTTTAGTTCTCTGCGGACACAACATCTTTGTTGGTATGTGGTGCTGAGGGTCGAACCCGGGCCTCACGCATGCCAGGTGAGCGCGCTACCGCTTGAGCCACATCCGCAGCCGGAAATTAAGTATTCTTGCCGTGGGTGGAAGTAACAGAGGCTGTGCACTTGTTATCCATGCATAAACATAATCACATGTGCATGTATATATACAAAGAAATGCACAAATATGTACATATATACCACATATTTCACTTTTTTTTTTTTTTTACTATTTTCACTTTTTTGTGTGTGTATGTGATACTGGAGGTTGAATCCTGGGACTCAAACGTTAGGCAAGTGCTCTACTATTCAGATATATATATTAAGAACTGCATTTCTGGGGCTGTGATTGTGGCTCAGCGGTAGAGCGGTCCCCTAGCACGGGTGGGGCCCGGGTTTGATCCTCAGCACCACATTAAAAAAACAAATAAATAAAATAAAATAAAATAAAATAAAGGTATTGTGTTGTGTCCATCTACACCTAAAAGAATATCAACTTCATTTCCCCAACAGTTGAAAGCCCCCAGGAGGCAGCGCACCTTTGCCTTTATTTGCCTAAAGGGACCCTTGCTCGGAGTTCTGTTGTCAGGCTTTAACTTTGCTGAAGGCTACATTGATGTTATTAAGGCAGATGGGGCGTGGTGCAAACAAAACTGTGTATGCTACTCACAGACTAAAGGCCCTGCCAAAATGGGCAACTACATCTATTTATTTTTTGGTGGAACTGGGGATTGAACTCAGGGCATTGTGCATGGGAGCAAGCACTCTCCAACTGAGCCTTATCCCCA